TCCGTCATATGACGGACATCATCAGAGCGAGGTAACAACATCACAACAAAATTCAGGCTTGCGAGTCAAGGTATTTAACAATTAGGGTCACCTTAAAGTCGTTTATATAAGAATTTCTTGATTTGAGCATTCTACTCTGTCTGGCGGTTTCTAGTGATGAGTTGAATAGCGAACTGTGATTGCTTCATCGACATGTCTCTACCATATCCCTCCTCAAAAGTCACGATTGTCTGAAAGTACACTAGCAACAAGTCCGCGTTGTTGGACAAGCAGCAACAAGCCCACGTGCTGGATTCGAGTCCCGCTGGGTTTGCATCAAATGTCCTCCGGCCTTCATTCTTGTCTGTTTTATTTGGCCCACTTTTGTGCACAGGAGAACACACCGCCCGAAGAAGAGACGGCGCATTCATTGCGCTCCTTGCAGTTTTGGCATCGGCTGATAGCGCTCTTGGTTTCTGTCATCGAGGAGGACAAGGGGACGTATGCCGCGGTACTGAACCAGTTTCCGCAGGAGTTAAACATGGGCCACGTCAGTGCTTCTTGCATGTGGGCCAGGCTGTCAGAAGACTTACGAGTGGGGCTGGAGGTCCATGCCAACGCCACGGAGCGCTTCTGCAAGTCCTCGGACTACATGAATCTCTGCTTCAAGACCAAGTGGTTCTACAACAAATTCGTGTCCGACATCGCCGACATGAAGGACCATGTGCCCGGATACCCCGCGTGAGTTTTAGCTCCACTTGCCCTAGTGTACTTAATCTTCATATTCACTTTGGAACCAAATCCTCTCTTTGTGTGTGTGTGTGTGTGTTTGTGTATGCCAAACACGTGCATAATTGCTAATTTTATTTCTTCCTTCTCATTCCCTTTACATGCGCCAGATGGTTCGAGCCCTTCGTAATGCAGTGGTTGAACGAGAACGATGAGATCTCCATGGACTATTTGCGAAATGCTTATGAACGCGACAAACAGGATGGATTTCAGAAGTCATCGGAACATGCGCTCTTCTCCAACTCAGTGGTTGACGTCTTTACCCAATTGAATCAGTGCTATGACGTTATCAAGAAGTTGGAATGTCCTGCTCCCAAAGTTCAGGATCGCTTTCTGAACCGATTTTCTCGAGTAAGTGGTTTCCACCTAAAGCCCAAATTTTGAGATCCGTTACAATATCTGACCTCTGAACCCTCAGTCGTCGTTTGGTTGACAGAAACTTAGTAATCTAGATTCCGTTTGCTGTTATTTCGTTGAAATTCACTTATATACATAACTTAAGCAGGTTTCCTAATATATTTGAAAACTCACTCAACAGGTATATATATATGTTTAATTTTTTGTTATTCGAGAGTCCTATTTTTGGTTCAATATAGCTATTATGCAATGATGTGGTAAGCATAGTTTACTTATTATATTAATGATTTCACGAGAGGACATGCTAGCAGACATAATTATCTTAATCTATACTTTAGTAAGTGATTATAAGAACTAGGGTCCTTTTTTATTGTTTTTAGTTAAATGGATTATCCTTTTTATGTATTTTTTCTGCTTAGTATTTTCTTATTTTCCATTCCAGATTGGCTTAAATTGTGTGCTATTTCTATTTATTGTAAGGATTTAATTATTAGTTCTATCTGTTCTGCTCGTAATTTTTTACTTTTGTTTGTCATCGAATTGGATATTTTGTCAGATTTGACAACAAATTCCAATAAGTTTTTTGTATATTCCGATGTTTAGGTTAGTAAAAATGTTTTTAAGCACTATATTGCTTGAATATTATCTTGATATTATTATTTTGAGTAAAATTGATCTGAGCTTTTTATTTTGTTTTGTTCTTTTGATTATTTCATTGGGTTGGCTTCGTCTTATGATATTACACCGTTTTGTAATTTATGAATTTATGATTCTTACCTTTATTATATTAGTTACTTAGTAGTTTTAAGATTTATTTCTCCTTTTGTTCTCATATTTATATCATTGCTTTTCTTAAATTTGTATAATGTTTATTATTACTAGTATGATTATAATCTATTCTTTTTGTATATCCGATAATTGTGAGATTTTGTTTTAGTTTGAGATGATTAATCATTTAATGCCATATCCTGCGTCTATTTGGCGTTTTGATGTGCAAGCTAAAAATAATTTTAATTACTTTGAAAGTAGAGATTCTTTTAGTCGAAGGTATGAAGACCAAGATGGTGTGGCCTTTTGCGTGGCTGCAGTCTCCTTTCGCTGTATAGAAGTTGTTTGACCTTGTTTTCGCAACTTGGTCATATTGATAGGAATACTTAGGAAACGCACCTTGTCCTGAGTCCATTGTATGCATAATTATTTCCAGAGTCGGACCGTGGACGTGGTACATCAACGCACCTTGTCCTGAGTCCATTGTATGCATAATTATTTCCAAAGTCGGACCGTGGACGTGGTACATTCACAGACGCACCTTGTCCTGAGTCCATTTTATGCATAATTATTTCCAAAGTCGGACCGTGGACGCGGTACATTCCCAGACGTTTCGCCAACCTTGTCCTGAGTCCATTGTATGCATAATTATTTCCAAAGTCGGACCGTGGACGTGGTACATTCCCAGATATTTC